AGAAGAGCTGCTGTTAAAAATGGTATTTGATGTAGTGTTAAAATCATTCTGATTTGCTAACGGCATACCTCCAAATAATTGAGAATTGGTGGCATTATTCACCCAGGCTCAACGCTGAACGCGCCCGCGTCGCATTCGATTTTGCAAATTATTAGCGACCAAAATTACTCTCAGAAAACACCTGTTAATCTTTAAAGTTACCCAATGCAATTCCAGAATCCGGAGCAAACCACAGATTCTTTAGAGTATTTCACAATCTGTCAAAATCTCGTTAGCCTGATTAAACACAGCCTAAAATGTCTGTTCTCTGCCTTCCCGAGGGTTACACCCTTCTTCCCGCTAAACTTCCTGTACCCCAAGTCCGGGCATTCCCATCGCCTTTTTCACACCTTCCTAGCCTTGCTTCTCCGAGATAAAAATAAAAAGCCATGAAAGCAGATCAAATATAACCCAACATGTCCGGCTGGCCAGGGGCACAAAGGATTAGGAAATGCCTCCCTCTCTGGCAGGTGGTAAAGCTCAGTGGGCAGTAAGTGGGCGCATTCATGCCAGGTCGGCTCGGGGACCCTTCGGTGCCTTCGGGAAGGCGAGGGACATTTTGTGCTGTCCCGAGCACTTTCTTTTATGACTTCTCGAGTCATTTGGTGGCGTCGGGGGTCTGGGCAGCCCTGCAATCAGCCCGAGAGAGCTGGAGTCCTTACCCGCTGGCTGCGCTGGCGGAAGGCAGAGGAGCCGGGCAGGATCGCTGTAATCCATTAGGCGGCTTGGTAGCACAATCCGAGCGGCAGAAAGTAGGAGCTAAAAGCCGGAGGCGGCGGGCTAACAGGTAGAAGGAGGGAGGGCTCCGCCGGTGGACCTGGCGCCGGGAGCCCGTGCTGGCAGGCGGCGGGGAGCCGCGGGGCGAGGGGGCTCCGCCAGGGCGGCAGACTGGCAAGGTAGCGGCGGCGGGGAGCGGGCGAGGGTTGGAGGAGCCCTGCGCTAAGAGGGGTCGGTACACAAACATCATAGCCACTGTAATACACCTCATCGGAGACAAAGGTTAGAAAAAGAGGGGTTGAGGCTCTCTGAAGGCGGAATGCAGGGGGAAATTCGCCAGGGAAATCAGGAAAAAGGCCATGAAAGCCATCACTGCTTGCACATGACCAGCAGCAGCCAATGACGAGCCCAAATAGGTCATAAAAAGGTCTATTACCGAGTTGTAAATTTTCTTCAAACAAAAAGGAATTTACTGCAATTCCTTGCGGATTCTGCACAGACTGCGGCCCCGCGCCATTTTTCTCTCGCCTCTTCGCTCTCGCTCGCCTGCTTTTCTTTTTCTTTTTTTTTCTAAATTCTCCTCCAGTTTTTTCTGGCCTGGGAGGTTTCCAGTGCGACGGGACCGCGGGGTGCAGCCCGGGCCGGCCCTGCCCTGCCCGACCAGGGAGGCATGGACAAATGTAAAAAGCACAACAGCGGGTCGGGGGAAGCTCGCAGGCGGGGCACGTCGGATCCCGGGGAGCCCTCTCCCCTGTTTGTCATTTAAATGGCCCTGCTCTCCCGTCACCCGTGCAATTTAGGTTCCCTGTTCTGTTGGGGGGGAATTTGTTGGGGGGGAATGGTGGGGGGTGTTATTCCCCTTCATACTAAAGGCACAGCCCGATTTCCTTTGGCGCCCACTGCTGAACTCCAGGTCCCTGAGCCTGGTCCCTTCCCCTGCAGTCTGCAGCGGCACAGGATGCTCTGCGAGGCTCTGGCTCTCGCTCTAATGCAGAGGTAGATGGCTCAGTGGCTGCCTCCTTCCCTTCACCCGCCCTCCCTTCTCTACTCCAGCGCAGTTAAACAGGGCTGATGGGGAAGGCTGGAGCATCAGGACTGAGAGAGTCCCTTGAGGTCTCAGAAGCTCCTCGAGGGAGAGCAGAGGCCAAAAGCGCTTCAATTTCGCGGGAGTTTCTCATTATGATGATATTAATTATATGATAGATTTTATTCCACCTTATTGTATTTAATCTTATTTGATGTTACTCTCTTCTCCTTTACTTGCTTGCATGCTATTTTGTGTTATTTCATTTTGCTCTAGCCTGTGTTACTAGCCCCGCTCTCAGCCCCTTGCTCGCAGCCTCCAGGACAATCAGTGGTGCCTGCCCGGAAAACAGAGCCAAGGGAAGCTGCTGGGCCCTGTTCCCCTGCAGCGAATCACCCACGGGCCCAGGCACGGGCCTCGGAGGGGCGCGGGGCCGCCGGCTTTGCCCGCGTCCCAGCAGCGCGGCGGGCCTTGCACCGGGCCTTGCCAGACTCGTCCGGGCTCCGGGGACGGGGGTGCTGCTTGGAAGCCGGGCACCCAGCGCCAGAGGGCACCGCTATGCTGCACCTCGGGGCTGAGCCTCGAGCCCCGCTGGCCAGCGCTCCCCCGGCCTTCCCCAGCGCAGCTCCCGCCCGGGG